TCTTAAATTTCTTGAAAATCTTTAAAAAGTATTTTTTTTTGTTAGTTTTTTCTATAAAGATGTTTATACTATAGATCTTTTAAATAGATTATTGTATTTAATTATAAAAATAAATAAATAAAATATTGAAAAAAAAAGAAAACAAGTAATAATTGTTACTTATTTATAATTAAAAAATTAGTATTATTTAAAAAAGTATATAAACTTTATTATTATAAAAATATAAAATCTTTTGAAAATATTTTTTTTTTGAATTGATAAAAAGATTAATAAAAAGAATTTAAAATCAATAAATTTTATAAATTTTAAAAAATAATTAATAGATTGTTAATTTATAAAATATAATTTATAATATATAAATATATTAATTATTTATTATAATTTTAAAAAGTAAATTTAAAAAATAATAATTCAAAAAAATTATTAAAAATTATTTAAAAAAAACTGTTTCATATATGTATATCAAAAATAATTAATTAATATTTATATTATAATTTAAAATTTTTATAAAAACTTTAATAATTAAATTATCAAATATTAATATTAAACTATTACAATATATTAAACTATTTTAAAATATTATATTTGCTACTGTTTATAAAAAAAGTTTATATAATTTAATTAAAAAAATATCTTAATAACAATTAAAAAAAAATCTTATTTTTTGATAAAACAATATTTTAATATTAGAAATATAATTATTTAAGTAATATATTAATTAAAAAAATGTTTGATAATTACTATATATAAAAATTTTTATATAAAAGAATTATTTAAAAAAAAAATTTTTTTGTTTTAAAAAAATTATAAATACAAAATTTTATATTAAATTAAAAAAAATAATTAAAGAAATAATTTAAAAAAAATTAATATTTCTAATAAGATAATAATTTAATAAGTTTTTTTTTGAAATTATAACTAATCTTTTAATAATTTAAATTTAAATTCTATTAAAATATTTAATTTATTGTATTATTAAAAAATATATAAACATTTAATTATTTTAAAATTTTTTAGAATTAAACAATTTTTTATAATAGAAAAAAATTTTTTTTTTTCAAATAAGATTATAATTAATCTTATAAACTTATTAATTAATAATTAAAAAATAATAGTAAAAAAATAATTAATTATATATTAATAAAAATTTCTAGATTTTTAAACCTTATTTTGATATTCTTTTATTAAATTTTATACAATAGTTTTTGAGAAATAAATAAATAAATAATTTCAAAAAGTTTTGTAATACACTGTATACTTTAGATATTAGATATTTTTTTGCTTTTAAACAAATATAAAAAATTTATTGTATTTTAAAAAAAAAAACAAAAAAATTAAATTTTTTATAAATTCAAATATTAATTATTATTTTTATAAAATTTTTTAATAATTTAAATTAATAAAATGAAATGACTTAATCTCTAGTTAAAATTTTATATTATAAGTATATCTACGTGACAGCAAGCCACTAAGAACTTTTAGCAAATAGAAATTTTATTAAGCAGATAGTATAGAAAAAGTATGTAGCTTATCTCTTTCGATAGTATAGTCAAAATCGATTTGTTTCACGATCATAGTTAATATTTAGATTTTCAAATTTGCAGGGCTGCATTACTGATTGGAACCAGTACGATTTGACATTAAGCGTTTGATCACCCTACGGGCATACTCATTTTATTTAAAATATTTCCTCGTTTGAATTTTAAAGGTTTTAATTGGCTCATCTATGATTATTGGTGCTGAAGAAATCAATATAAAAGCATAACTATCAACAATGTCATTCTTACATCTTTACAAAAAGCCTCTTTAACAGTTATAAGACTTGCTCTTTCATATTTTTACTAAATCGAATCAGAAAAATGGGAGAAATAACTCTTAGGATCGGTATAATGGCAGCCAGAGAGTTAGCGGCAGCGTATGTATTAAATGTTTTTTGGAAAGGTCTGATCAACACTTACTGGAAGGACGAATCAATATGCATGAACAATATTTGATTAAAGTAAACTAAAAAATGTTTTTCTTTTATTTGTATGACAGTGATAAGGACGGTTCTTCCGACCCATACGCCGTCATCAGAGTAGCTAATAAAAAATACGAAACAGAAATAATCAAAAAAACCTTAAATCCAATTTGGAATAAATGTTTCGACGTAAAAATATCAGAAAGCAACGTACCACCTCATATAACCGTCACTGTGTGGGATCACGATCGTTTTGGTCGCGATTTCCTGGGTGAGGTGACTATTCCAATTAAACAAATATTCGCCAGAAATAACGGAGGATTAAATGATGGTGTTCCTAGAACCTTTGAAGATCCGCTAAATCAACCGGCAGCCTATACGCTACAGAAACGGAGTACGAAGAATGATGTTAGAGGTGATGTCGTTTTGAAATAAGGTGGCTTAGTGATCGCTTCCCCATGGTATCTGGTATCTCTTTCTGTCAAGATGGTTGCCTCTATAGAGTTC